CTATGCCAAGAACCATGGTCTAATGGCTAGAGCCCAGGACTGAGAGCTAGGGAACCTGCTTTCTATTTCTAGGTTTGACACAGATGTACTGTCACCCCAACAGGGATGTTGTAAAGCTCAATTAAATATTCACATAGTGCTTTGTGATTCTCAGATGGAAGGACCCAGAGAAATGCAGGGTATTATTATCCAGCATCCCTATTATAAAATCTAGAATGTATCGACTTTTATAACCACTAGCCTCAAAATATTAAATGCAACCACCCTCTCATACACACACAATTCAGGCACTAGCCAATACACCCCAAAATCCTGGAACTGTCCTCCATCATCTAGTATTAACCCATCTGTGATTCACTCACATTTGTCCTTCCCATCATCCTCCTCCACACCCAATTTAGTTAGACAAAACTAACGTCTGCATGACTCCAATGCTATAAAGCCAGGAAATGTTTCAGTCTCCAGAGCCGAGAAGTTTTCAGCAAGCTGCTACTTCAGTAACTGTATGTAGGAAGGCACTGAAACCTCTCCTTCTTGTTAGCCCAGTTAACCAGCATCCTAGTAACTCAGGATATATTTTTTAAACTAGGCTGCCAAAAATTAGGTATCACAGAGCACCTACTGACTTCAATGGAAGTTCAGAACCTCTAAAAATAAGGCCATTTTCATTTAAATGCTTAAATATAGATTTAGGCACCCAAGTTGAAAATTTCAGCCCCAGTAAACAGAAATAATTCCTCGGCTTATCATGTATCCTGAAAGGTGGGTCAGTCTTGAAACTACCATTATTTTTGTAGATCCATGTAATATTCAGGGGCTTGGAAAACAGGATGAGCAGAGAAGGTGAGGGAGCAGGCATTTTGCCTTATGCAATGATTACATAAGGATTAGTTTACTGTAGGAGGTTGGGAGTCATGGTATTAGTTTTATACTAGGATAGCCTCAGGGTAATGAGAGATAATAAAGAGGGGATTATTGCTGCCACACGCTTCCAAGGCCACCAAAACAGCAAAAAAAGCAACTACAGCAAATAGAACTTTATGCTAATCTTTGCTCCCAGCCCTCACCACAGCCTCATTCAGGGCTCGTTTAGAAAAAAGGATATTTAATCTTGATCAGTGTTTAAAGAGCTGCATGAAAGACAATCCCTTCACAAAGTATCCTTCAGTGTCTGAGTGCCCCTTTGCCATCACTGGTATTGTTTATGGTGGCAATGGTGCAATGGAAGAGTGGTGAAACAACAATACCTGGCACTTACATAGCATTTTATGTCAAAGGGCTTTAACAAGCATTAATCGATCCTCAGGATAGCTATGTGAAGCAGGTAAATATCATGCCTATTTTACAGACAGGGAAAATGAGGCAAAGAAATTAGGTAGCTTCCCTGAAGCCAGAGTCAGTATCAGAGCTGAGATGAGAACTCCTGAATTCCTAGCCCTGGTCCTACACTCAGACCACTAGACTAGGCTTCCTTCCTTAAACATAATTTTTACTGGAAAAATGGATATGGTATTTAGAATAAAAAAAAAAAAACACAGACCTCCAACTCAATTGCCACTTTCTGCTTCAGTCCATAAAATAATTTCAGGCGAATTCTTATGGACTTTGTTTAATTAGAAAGACTTCACTTGAAGAAAGATGCAAATTCAAGAGTCTGAGTCACTGTGTCATTGCTGTGCCTTAGCATTTCTCCTGTTCTCCGCGGCCAGAAGAATAACAGAAAGCACCTTGAAAAGCTGAATAAGATTGGGATGAAACATCAGAGCTTGGAGAACTATTTGTTTCTGGGTTCATTCCTAAAATATTGGTGCTGTTCAGCATACTCTGAGACAGGAGCATTGAACCAAGCTGACACACAACACAAAAGGGCTGCAAAAGTGTTTAGTGATCAGAAGAATCACATCAGTCAAAGCCTGAAGAAGCAGCCATGATATCAAGAGGAGGCACCACTATCTACCCCAGACCCATAACATTTAAGATAGGAACAATTGGCTCAACAGGTTCCAGAAAGAAAACGGTGTTCCCATGACAAGCACTGGGCTCACTGAAGGGAGATATTACAATCAACGCTGCCATCACAGAGAAGGGGTCTTGTGGTTTGGTTTTTTCGTTAGCAGTCAGTCATTTACCCTACATGATGATATACTCAGCTGAAATAGGGTGCAGACAGTGTACAGTAACACCACAAAATTTCACCACATGGTGGTACCACACAAATTTGTAAAATTTCCAGATCCAAAAACATATTACAAAATGCAGCGCTGACAACTGGAAACACAAATGCTGTGTGTCCAGCACATACTGGTTGATCTACCCCTAAAGAGCAGTATATTGAATTAGACCAATCAAGAGCCATGTGAGAGAGAGAGAGAGAGAGGGAGGAGAGGACGCACCAATTTGTGTAGAACCAGACAGGAGTTAGGATATCCGAGTTGTATTCCTAGCTCTGCCACTGACACATTGTGTGATCTTGTGCAAATTACCTAACCTCTCTGTGCCTGAGCTTTTCCCCACTATTAAATGGGGGTAAGGGTGATTCCCTACCTCACAGGGGTAACTGTAAGGCTGAATTGTTTTCAAGGCACTTTGAGATCCTGAGATGGAAAGTGGCTACAAAACGTAAAGTATCACTGATGAGGATTATTAAAATTTAGTATACACACAGTGTTCGATCTCTGATCAGGGCTTTATGCCAATACAAATAAATAAGAATGGGAAACTATTCTAACTTAACTTCGTGAAGCATCCTAGAATTTTATTCTCCCCCATCCAAGCCCCCCCCCTCACACACACACACACACACACACACACACACACACACACACACACACAC